TCATTCACCATCCACCATCCATCCATCCATCATCCATCCATCTACCCATCGATCATCCACCATCCATCCATCATCTACCATCCACCATCCATCCATCCACCATCCACCATCCATTCATCATCCACCGTCCATCTACCCACTGACCCCTCCACCCTCCGTCCATCCTGAGTATTCACTGCTCAGTTGCATCAGTGTAACAGGTGTGGCCTCGCCTGTCTGTCTGCCATTCTGGGAGAATGGACGGTTGAGTGAAGAGTTCAGCCATTCACTGGCTGCCTCTCTTGTCTTTAGGGTTCATGCTCACGCCTGAGTCTTGTCCTCTGGCCCTACATTGGCTTTCCATCCTCCGGGGCTACTCTTCAGACATGTGCTCACAGCCGGGTCCCGGGGGATGCGTGCAGGCCCGACCCGCACCCCTGGTGGGCCGTGGCTACTCACATGTGACAAATACCCTCTTGCAGTAGTTTGTGTTCTCCTGAAGCTGGTGGCACTCGGACAGCTTCTCCTGGGGACAGAAGAGCCCCCTGGGAGTCTCGCTGGTGGCCAGCACCTGGACGACCTTGCCACACTGGTGCTCCTGGCAGACCTCCTCCCACCTCGCCATGCCCTTGACCGAGGTGTTGGTGCACAGGGCTGCCCACTGCTTGTTCTGGCGAACCTCCACAGAGCCGGCACACTGGCTCCTGCCCCCCAGCAGGCGGCTCTGCACCTTGGGCTGGAAATCTGCAGAGGGAAGCGGTGGGAGGTGAGCGGTGGGCTTGGGGGCCCCTCCGGGCTGCGGCTTGGGGGCCGTGGGCCGCTGGCCTGCAGTGGTGCGGGGGTCGGGGGGTGGGACTTTGGCGCCACCCTCCCCCTCTCACTGGTCTCCTGTCATCCAGGGAGAGGGTGTCCCTGGTGCTCTGAGCCGCATGGGCCTTCAGCGGTGGCAACGCCACCCCAGGAAGTGGCCTCCTCCCAGGTAGAGGCCAGAGATAAGCAACAGGAAACAGCTCCCACCTGTCCCTACAAGGGCCTCCTCCCTTGTAGAAACATCTCACTTCCTGGCTGCTCCTTGGGAGGGGGAAAGCTAATCAGAAAGGGGAAACTGAGGCTAGAGCCTCAGCTTCTTATCTATGAAGTCGGGGGTACAATAGTGGCATCTTGTATAAATGCCCTTGGCCCAAGCACGACTCCCCTCCTTGTCCTCTCCACCACACCCATGAGCCTCCCTGGGAGACTTGGGGACCCCACCACCCGTGGTGGCCACGAAACCAGCCCTATGCTTGGGTTTGGGGGTGTCCTTCCACAGGGATCCCCGTGGCTCTCACAGGGTATGAGAACAGCCTTGCCGGCCCGGCCTGCCCTGCGCTGCGTTAGAGGCCAGCAGTCCCCTCTCCACCGCCCTGCACTCTGCACAGTGCCGCCACCCCGGGGGCACAACTGGGAATGTCCCTGGGTGCTGGCCGGTGCCACTCACCAGAGCAGAGGACGGCGAGCGCTCGGCCGCCCTCCTGGGACTGGGCCTCCCGGAAACACTGCTCCAGCACAGGGCAACTGGTGCTCTCCAGCTTCCACTGAATGGACAGGGGCTGGTTCTTGCCTGGGTGAGGTCCCCCCATTGCCTCGGCCTCCGGCAGGTACTTCAAGAAGGAGCCACAGTGGACAGCCGTACAGATGCGTTCCCCCAGGTCTCGGGTCCTGTCCTGGGACTCGAAGCTCACCGCGCCGGCCAGGCCGCCGCTGTGGAACTCCACGACGCCGGCACACCGCAGGCCCCAGGGCCCCGCCACTAGCTGCAGCCTGGGAGAAACTAGATGGGGAGAAGGGGGCAGCAGAGCAGGCTGAACACGTGGCCCGGCGGGCCGCCTTGCCCGGCGCCTGTTGCTTCCAGCGCAGACGTCACATGAATGGCAGGGGGTGGCCTTGGGAGCTGCTGGGTCCCAGGGGGCGTCTGGGCCACGCCGACCTCGTGTTTGTCTGACGTTCCAGTGTGACGGGGCTGCCCGTGTTTTTATTTGCTAAATCGCCACCATCTTGCTAAACAAGCAGTTGACTAACACACCGGGGCCCAGAGGGCTGAGAATCCTCTTACCTGTGGGCTTCTGAGTGGTCGTGGCCGGGGTGCGCGTGGGTGAAGGCGGCATCTTCTTGGGCTCTGGAATGAGACACTGGTGAGGAGGGGCAGGGCTGGCGGCGGGAAGGGTCCAGGGAGGGCGGGGCAGTGGCAGGGCTGAGCAGGGCCTGGGCCCCACCCCATGAGCCTGGCTCCCCAGGAAGCCGTTGGGCCCACACTTTCCGAGCCCTTGGGGGAGGGCGGCGGGCGGGACCGGCTCAGTATTCGGTTGGGAAGACAGAGGCTGGGAGGGGATGACGAGCCATCTTTGATCTGACCAGGCGGAGGCCAGCACCCTGGGTGTCCCCTCCAGTTCCCTCAGAGTGTATTTCCGGCTCTAAGTCAGGGACCCCCCACCCCCCCTGCCTGCTCAGGCCCCACACCCCAGCTCCTGGGTGGCCTTCTCCAGGTTAGGGGACTCCACGTGGCCCCCAGTTACCCACCTAAGCAGATCAGGTTCAGAGGTTCCTGGTGGGAATTCTCCTGGCTGCAGTTGGAGAAAATCCCCACTTTTCCGTGGCAGATGATCTGATTGTGGGGACTATAGAGGGAAGGGAAGTGGCTGAAGGCCAAGGCCTGTCCGCACCGCAGCCTCGAGCAGAGTGCCGAGGCTCCATCCACACAGAGGTGCTGGCATTGGCAGGTGTCCATGTCCCAGCTCCGGCTGCTCACTGTGTGCCATGTGCCGTTAAGGTGGACTCTCAGCTGGCCCTGGCACTTTGAGCCGTGTAGCTCCACCTGGAGATCTGGGGATGAAAGAGATGTGCATGGTTCAGGCTGGGAAGGCTCCCCAGGCCCCCCATCCCCTTACTCCAGCAAAGCTCCCTTTGCCCCACTCTGCCTGCCTTGCTCCCATCACAGTTTCTGCAGGGACTTCTCAGAATCCAGGCTGGGGCTGCACCTGCCCCAGGGGTCCCCCCAAAGCCCGGGAGACTGAGGCTCGAGACCTCCGGGGGACCCTTGTAGCACGGACACGAGGCCATTGGCATCCACTGTGTCAGCAGATCTGAGACACAGCCTGTGGCTTTCCCTCCTTCTCTCTCACTTGGAAAGTCAGTATGATGAAGGTCTAGTTTGCATGCAGTGCAGCGTACTCACTTTAAGGCTATTTTTTCAAAAGCATTAGACAAATGTGCACACGCCTGAGGCCAGCACTGTGCTCAGCACAAAGGTCATTTCCTTCTCCTGGAAAGTCCCCTGTTTCCCTGCGTCCAGCCTCAGGCAGCCACGGGCCTGTTTTCTGTCACTAGCGAAGTGTCCCGCCTGCTGGCAGGTGCACAGAAGTGGCACCGAGGTGCAGTGCATTTGTGTGTGTGTCTGCCTGACTCCTTTGGCTCAGCAAGGTTGGACCTCTGTGTGCTGCTGCCTGGGTCAGCGGTCACTCTTTCTGACTGTGGAGAACAAGCCACTGTCTGGCCGGACGGGCCTTGTTCACCACTCAGGCGGGCTCCAGGCGTGGGCTACTGTGAATAAAGCTGCCAGGAACGCTCCTGTTCTTTGCCTCTGTGTGGGAAGTGTTGCTGTTCTCTTGGGTAAACGCCTAGGAGCGGAATTGCTGGATCGACGCTAGTGTGATTTTCTAAAGTTCCATGAAGGAAAAAAGAGGAGTATATATTTGTATCTGCATGAAGGGATTCTGGAAGGATATGCCAAAAAAATGCGTAAACGTGGTTATTATGTGGGGTGGCAGGAGGGGAAGAACTGGGCAGATGGGGGACCGGAGTGGGAATGAGATTCTTCACTTAGCAATTTTTATATTTGTTAAGTTTTGAGCCAGTCAAAGACATTTTTAAAGATGTAAAAGCCTCTTCCAAGTAATACTGAGTGGAGGCTGGCCCTGCTCAGGAACTGCTGGCAGGCGGACGTTTTCTTCCCACAGATAACACACATTTGAGGCCCAGAGCACCAGCTAAGGACACGTGACTGGTCAGTGGCCTTCATCCCAACCCTGACACTGACCTTCCCTCCAGCAAGCAGATTCGTTGAAGCCTTGCCGAGGAAGGATTCAGTCCTCCCCATTTTATAATCAGGGAGCTGGCGGAGCTAGAGCTTGGAGATAGGAGGCTATTGTAAGGTGCTGGGTTCTGGCCCAGGGCCCACCAAAGTCCTCCAGCTCTTTCTCAGCACAGAGTGCCTTCCCGAGAAGCTCCAGCCACATCCCCCCCATGCATTCAACACGACGTTATCTCAGGAAACGTGAGCAAGTGCACTCTGGCTGAAATGAGTCGGAACCGCTGAGCTTAAGACAGTTGTAGGCTTTTCTCCTGTGGGACTTATCAGAGCCTTTACAGGCCACGTACACTGCCCGTCAGTGGGCGACGTGGCAGGCAGTGCCTACTCTGTGTCCAACGTGTTCCGTGGACTCCTGCTTGGGAAGCACAGGTCTCTAGGATTAAAGTTCCTCTGGAATTTAGCTGCAAATATCTTGATGAGAACTTCATAGGAATGCGGTGTTAAAAGGCACATTTATGGGCCAGATGCTTTCTGTGCATGGTGAGGGCATCATGATACAGCTGTTACGAGACTGGCATTCACACTGTTCGGACACTGGGGTCCTCCTCCTGCACATGGGTATATTAAATGTGTGTGTGTGTCTGGTGGGGCTGTGTGTTTGTGGGGGGCTCTGTGTGTGTGTGTGTGTGCACCTGTCTGTGTGTCTGGTGGGGCTGTGTGTTTGGGGGGAACTGTATGTGTTGGGGGGCTCTGTGTATGCGTGTCTGTGTCTGGTGGGGCTCTGTGTGTGTCTGGTGGGTCCCTACAGCCTGATGAATCTCGGTCTGGACCCCCCGGGCCCCCTTGCTCACTGGCAGGCCCCTCCTTACCGCCATTCTCCCATGCGTTCTCCGCGAGGCAGGACGTGGCTGCAGAAAGGAGAGAGCAGTGTCAGGGTGCACCCCAGGCTGCCCCCCTCTAGGTTTGAGCCCACCTGAGGCCTGGTGACTGTCTTGGCGACCCCCCCCCGGCCCCGAGCTTGAGGCAGGATTTTCATACTACATCCTTTGGGTTGCTCCCAGGTTCTGGCCAAGGTCTTAACCCCTGGGGTGGACATGAAATCAGCTGAGTGGGTGGCAACCACCATTTTTCTACTTTTTGAAAAAAGAAAACTTTACCTTTTAAATGAACATATAGTAAATAGATTTTCCCTTATCACGGAGATCTGGGGTCACCAGCACCGCCAAGGCGTCGACGGCTCTGGCGCCCTCCTGCTACCCTTCCAGAGAGCTGATTTTTAATGGGATGAACTAGAGAAGGGGCTCTCAGAACTCACGCGGTCGTGTGGCTAAGGGTTGGTTGCAATGGGAAAACGGCCTGTGTGTTGCTTTCTATCACAAGAAGAACGAGGCCAATTATTTTAGCAGCTCCCGGCTTCCAGCAGAGATCAGGGAAACTGGAGTCAAAGGGACTTGCCCAAGGCGGTGCCACATGGGTGCGGAAGCAGAGACCACAGCCCCGGGGGTCCCCGGGGGATTGGGTCCCGAGGATCCGGGCGTCCCTCTGGGCCATCAGTGGAAATGTGGGACTGCAGCCTGGAAAGTGACCCAGTGGGGGGCTTCCCTGCAGGGGGGCCGGTCGCCAGCTCCTCTGTGGATGGGGACGGTGGGTGGTCAGGCGCCAGCTCCCTGGCCGCCTCCAGCTGTGAGTGTCCAGGAGCAGCTGTTTGGCGGCCTCTGGCTGCTTGGCCGGGAGCTGGCGGCGGCCAAGGTGTCAGGTCGGTGCAGCACACTCAGCACGGTACGTGGCTGTGTTGAAGGCACTTTGGAGAAATGGTTGCTGGGTGTTAAAACCTAGGTGTATTTTTAAAAGCCTTTTCTTGCCTGAGTGTTCTGAAGCTTCTGGTGAAATTTCAAGGGGATGCGCCCCCACCAACCCCCTCCCAGTGACCAGTCTCTCTGTCGAGAAAACAAGGCCAGGTGATGAGTTCCTCCATCTTGCCTGCGTCTGTCACAGTCACCCTGGGCCTCTGAAGGGCAGGGTGCTTCCCCCACACAGGGAGAATCTGTCCAAGGGTGGTCAGAGGTGGAGGGTGTCAGGGAGAGGAGCGTCAGCCAGCTCAGTCATCTGATCTATCATAGTGGACAGGGTACCCCAGGAGGACATCACCATCGTCACCACCACCATGACCACATCACCACCATGACCACCATGACCACATCACCACCATGACCACATCACCACCATGACCACCATGACCACATCACCACCATGACCACCACCATCACCATGACCACCTAGGGACACGGTCAGTCAGCTTTTGATTCTCTACAACTTATTTTCATTCTTTTTGCTGCTTCTCAAGAGAGTCAGCCCAACATCCTCCTTCTCGTAAACCTGGCAAACTGGGCTGAGCCTCGTGACTCCCTTGGGGTTGCAGTTACTCTGCCCTTGCATGCGGCTTGAGGCCAAGGCTCCCCTGCAGCAGAACCTGCACCCCAGAGCCCGGGGACACAGAGTGGAAGCATTTAGCATTTCCTAGTTTGCACCTACAACCATGCTCAAGGCTGGTTGGGAAGGAAAGTTCTCTCCCTTCCGTCCCTTGCCAGCCTCCCCAGAGCCCCCACAATTTAGGGGAATGCCTGGGCTTTTGACCCGATCTGCACTGGTGAGGTATCAGTGAGACACTGAAGGGCACCTACCCTCTGCCCCATCGTTCTGGATGATTCTCACGCTGGCTCCCTGCATGATGACGCTGGAGCCTGCATAAGGCCTGAGGGGTTCTGCTGGGTCTGCACAGTGCTTGTGACATTTTTTGAGTCCTTTTTTTAGAAACAAACAAACAAAAAAAAAACCCCAAACAGCTTTCTTTGTTTTGCTTTGTTTTTCAAAACAAATCAAAAGATCTAGATGTCTTTTTAAAAGTAGGACACCTTGGCCGTGGCTGGCCACCTCATGGGGGGCCTGCTGGGGGTGGGTTACCGGCACCCCAGGGACCCTGTCTCTGGCGAGCCCCAGCTTCAAATCCTGGGTGGTTTCTGCAGACACAGAAACTTTCTCATGAGCAGATGTGTCGGGATTTTAAATCAGCTCTTTTGGCTCAGGGCAGGAATTGCATGGAAAGCATCTGCCAGACACTCAAAATATCTTTCGGTTTTGGAATAGCAGGTGGGTGCGTGTGGACCTGTCTGCGGTCCAGTCTCACCGTGCTCCCCAGGGTCAGAAGTAACCCCACCAGGCCCCCTCCCACTCATTCTCTGGCCCTGCCGAACCCCTGGGCACTTGCATTGCAGCCCCCGGGCTGGAGAGTGAGGCCAGGGCGTGGCATCGGGGACCCCGGGGAGGCTGGGGCAGGGCTGGTGAGAACACGGCCAAGAAGCAAGCTGTGGGGCTTCTGCCCCTGCAGACCCCGGGGTGGGGGGTTTGGCTCCATGAAGGCCTCATTCTTCCCTCCATGAGGGGGCGTGCTCACCCGGCTTCCCAGGAAAGGAAGCGAGCAGGTGCTGTGATGCCAGGTGTGCGCGCTGCTCCCCAGAAAACTCCAGAACTGCAGCCATCAACTCACAGCCAACATGACCAGCCTGACCACCTTGGGGGCCTCCTGGCTTTGCATCTGATGAGCGCTTGACTGGAGGCCAGGAACCCCTTTCTAGCAACAGCAGAAATTGATGCAGCCATGTCTGAGGGAAACACATACTAAGATTGTGCTCCGGCAGGCAGCTTATGATCTGGGCGCTTTAAGTGCGAACATGTGGAGAATCGGGCTGGACTTTTGCCAGGAGAGGCCTGGGCACAGGAGCCCGTGAAGGCCCAGCACGTCCGGGTCTCTAGCTTGCTGAGCCAGGGCCTGCACCAAGACCATGGAGAGCTGACGGCCAGCGGAGGGGCTCCGTGACGGGAGTAGTGACCGCTCCCTCTCCCTGGGCCCTGGTGTGTCTAATGGAATCTGCATGAATTTCATGCCCAGTGCGAGTGCCCGCTGGCAGAGTGACAAGTCTTCCGCTTTTATGTTAAGAGTGTCACCTCCCCCAGAGGCTTCTCACGCACAGGGATCCTTCTGGCACTGGGGCAAAGACAATGAGCACTGCCATTTTCAGATCAGGAAATTGAGGTTCAGAGAGGTTGAGCTACTTGCCAAAAGGTTGCCCAGCTCATGGCGGTCGAGCCAGAGCAGAAACTCAGCTCCACCACCTGGCAGGGGCCCTAGGCGTCTACGGGGGTGGGCCTGATCACCCTGTGTTACAGATGGGGGACCTGGGGCCCAGAACAGGGAAGGGGCTCGCTCTAGACGCCCCGTGGGGGGCTTGTGGCCCACACAGGATCCTTGGTGTCTCTGCCGATTACTCCAATTTCTTATCCTGTACACACATGTCTCCCAGCTGCTCCCCAGGAGAGAGTGTTGGGGTCCCGGTGAGAAGGTGAGAGTCAGCCCCTAGGGGTCCATAAGGATGATGATGTTGGCAGTGGGCATAGTGATGGAGGCAGTGAATGGGGGTTGCGGGGGGTGGGGGAGCGGGGCAGGGTCCCTGTCTGCATTTCCGGTTCCCAAACCAAAAGTCTGTTCTAATGCATCTGGTGGGGACTGTTTGTAGCTTCCAGGGCCCCCTCAGGCAGGAATCGTCTCTCTCACGGCAGAGATGGGAACGGACGGGGCCCTGTGGTGTGACCCCACCCAGAGCTGGCTGGCTTGTGAGGCGCGCACAGCACAGACCACGCTACCCTCTAGAATCCGACAGCTTCTGAGTTCTGAAATGCTCCTGCCGAAGGCCTGGAGAAGTGTTACTCTTTCTTGCCAGAGTGCTGGGCACCAGGCGGCTCAAGTTCAAGGGAAGAGGCCGAGAGTCCTCCTGCCGCACCCTGGCCTGTCTCGGCCTGCGGGGGGGCCCCCCAGGCCCCCCATCCTCCGGCACTCACCCGCTTCTGCGAATATTTGCTCGGGTTTTATCCTTTCCTGAGACCAAATGCACCCACCAGATAGAGCCCCCCTAACCAGCTGTCTCCACGGAGCTCCCCACCTGGGGTGTCCCTGCGCCCACTGGCCCAGGCGGCTCCCATGTCACCCCGGCCCACCCCAACGACGGTGCTGGGCCACCAGGGCGGCGATCTTGACCGTTTGTGTCCGCAGCTCTGGGCAGCGCCTGGCATGTAGCAGGTGCCCCGTAATACCCACGTGGGCCAATTTCCTGATGGCCGTGACTTGGTTTCCCCCACTTCAGAGGTGAGCGCTGACCATGGGGGAGGGGCTTTCGTCCGAGTGAGCACCCAGGGAGGACTCAGGCCCAGATGTGCAATATTCCATGCCCCACAGGCCTTCACCAAACACACACAACAGACATTTGCACACAACACAGCCACGGTCATACATGCACACATCCGTGCCCACAACACACACCACGAATGAGCTGAGTCCCACACGCTCGCACATGCTCACACACAGAGTAGCTGTCCAGCTTTGTTGATGGAACTGAAGTCTCTCCCTGTTGCCATGGGAAGGGCCACCCTGGTCACTGTGGACCTGGACAGAGTGACCGGAGGGGCCAGGGCCCACTCCCGAGCTCTCAGCGCCTCCCTTCCCCTCTGGAGCTGGGGAGCTGCTCCAGCTGTGGTTGTCTGTGCCCAGCGCCAGCAAGGGCCAACGAAGGCCTCGGCCTCTGCAGCGTGGGCCTGGCTGGGCAGCCCGCTCCTACCTGGGGCCTTCCCCCGAGGCCCCTGGCCCGTCGCCCTGCCAACCCCTGCGGGCTCTCCTCCCCCTCTTCTCTGCCTGACCGACTCCTTCCATCTCTTTGTCTTAGTGCGACGTCACCTCCTCAGAGAGGCCCTCCTGGCCTGCCCGGCCCTGGGGACAGTCCCTAGCACACTCGGTTGCTGCATCTCAGCTTCACTTCCTTCGCTGCACTTCTGCCACACTGTTCGGGTGCTGGCCGGCTTGTGTCCTCCAAGGGCTCTCTGCTAGTCTAGTGTGTGTGCAGCTCTGTGCGGGGTGGGGTGCCGGGCTTGTTCCCTGCCGCACCCCAGAACTGAATGCACAGAGCATAGAGCATAGAGCAGATGCTCAGGCTGACAGGTAAAGAAAGAGAGAGAGAAAGACTGAGTGAGTGAGTGAGTGCATGGAGAGCCCGTGTAAGGAGACTGGGGAGAGGAAGGCAGATGGTCGGCCGTGTCCGGCAGGCCTCTCCCCACCAGGGCCTGCTCGCCAGGTTCTCAGAATCAGCAGACTTGTCCTCAGAATCACCAGTGCTCACTGAGCATTCACTGCATGATGAACCCCACGTTCACTGTCCCCTCAGTCCTTACAGATCCTGTGAGGCGGGCATTGGGGTTCCTCCCACCTTCCAGAAGGGCTGGCCGAAACCTGAGGTCACCTGGCTGGCCAGTGGCAGGCGGGAGGTCAACCACTGAGTCCCTGACTGTCCCGGCCCCAGTGCTGGCTTGGGGCGTCCGGCCTGGGTACCACCTGCAGCCGGGGCTGCCTCCCAGCACCCCCACCCTGCCCACCCTGGGGCAGGTGAGCCCCAGGCAGGCTGCCGCGACGGCCAGGGCCACAGTGGTGGCAGTGGGGAACCTGCGCCTGTCACCGCAGGCCAGCCGCGGGCATCTTCATGCCCCAAGGTCCAGGCACAGGCGCAGCCCCTGGCCAGTCAGGGGGCTGGCCCTGGGTCCAGGCGGGGGCCTCGCGCCTCGGGACGGCTGGAGGGAGCCCGTGCTGCCGCCTGGCCCAGCCCGGCCCCGTGCCTGCCTGGCGCTGGTGGTGGCAGGTCTGGCAGCCATTTTCTTACCCTTGGGAGTGGTTCACAGGGGCCGCAGGGGGTGGGGGGGTGGGTGGGGCCGGGTCCCTCTCCTGCTCACCACTGACCCCGCCTGGACTTGCCACTTGGCTCTTGGGGGTCCTAGTTTCCCCCTGTGTCAAATGGGGCCCCTGGGCCCAGCCTACGACACAGGCTGTCGGGAAACAGAGAAGAAAATGGCGTGGAAGGTCTTTTGTGAGCCGCGGCCCTGAGCAGTGGCAATGACACATGATCGCGGTGTGTACCCTGGGCTCCGCGTGCTCTTGGGTTCCAGAGGGTTCCAGAGGGTTCCAGAGGGTTCCACACTATGGGGAAGCCACTGCCTCTCTGCCTTCCCCCCTGGGGCTCTGCGGGGTGGACTCTGCCTGGTCCTGTGGGAGCCGCCCCTCATGGTGGATTCAGGGGGTGGGGGCCCCACTTCACTGGCAGGGTCAGAGGTCACAGCGGAGGGTGGGTGGAAGCTTAGGGCTAATGCCCCCAGGCCCCAGCGGCCCCTGGGAGGTCTCAGGCAGCGAGGGCACCCCGCGCCCTGGGCAGGAGGCCTCTGAAGCTCCCCGTCCTCAGCAGCTCCACCTGAGGGCAGCGTGGGAACACGGCCTGCATGTGGGGGCTGCACCCCAACTGCGGGAGTGAACACTCACACCCCTCACACATGTTTGCACACGCCCGTATTACACGCGCCTGCACGGACTCACACCCTCACAGAGTCCATCACGCACACACACGCGGTTCTCACACATGCACATGCGCACACGTCTCTCACACAGTCACAGCACACGCCTCACACACTCGCCCGCTTACACGCACACTCACACTCTGGCCTCTCCAGCAGGGACTGGGGCTCCCTGTCCAGGCTGGTCGT